ATGGATATTTGCAGGTTCTGGCTCAATGGCTCTCAGGGAAGCCTTTTAAGGTCTCTTTAGCTGCTGCCTGATGTGCTTTGCTTTTCTTTATTGCCTGTTAACACATGCACCCAGTTCTTTTAAAGAACAGGTGCTTTGAACTGACTCTAAAATAAAGGGAATCAGAATTTTGGGGCTAACCATGTAAGAGTGGTGTAACAGAGCCCTTAGAGCCACGAATCCCACCCTGTGAAACACAGGCACTGTGATTTTCCCCAGCCTATTTATAACATTTATAACATTTCGTCACACAGCAGGGAGGGGGCACAGCCCCACGTGAGGCAGGCAACCAATGCTCAGCAGAAACAACAATAGTGAACAACACCAGCCAAGAGTTTGCCCATAGGCATTGAAAAATTATAATGAGCAAATCGATTTTGAGTAGTCTAAATTTGCTTGGAGATAAATCAGGAGCTGAACAAGTGCTCTATCTAACAGAGAAATGATTCACCAAGTACAGTGTTCCTGGAGCCACAGAGAATGCTCTTGGCTGCTCTGAATGCTGGCTTTTATTTATTTATTTATTTCTCAGACAAGACCATTATTATTTTCTTGTTACAGGTCTAGTGCTGATCCCACCGCAGTCAATGACAAATTCTCCATTGGTTTCAATGGAGGACTTGGCCTCCTAAAAGCAATTTTTCATCAATACCTGAAGTACTTCCTTGACCCTCATATTTAAGGGTGAGCACTCATCAGCACCTCTCCCCAGCACAGCTGCAATTTGCAAAGTCCCTCCATGTCCCACTGCAGGCCCCAGCATCCCAGAACAGGATTGTATTTCTTCTCAGAGAGATGCTCTCTGCTTCATTTGATGTGCCCATTACTTGAAAACTGTCTCTCCTTTTGTCCATTAGCTAAATTCTGGATGAGCTTATTATTCTGCTTTGGTTTGTAACAATCCCACTGGATCCATCTCTATGCTTATTAGGATTTTAGAAATGCAATTTAATTTGTGCTAAAGCATACAAATTCGGCTCCCCTATGATCTGTGCTGTTCAGCACCCCACTCCTCTGTCTGCAGCACAGCTCTGACCCCTGCACATCAGTGGAAGGAGCAGTGCTGGGGTACAGGCCAAGCAGGGACCCCCACTGAGAGAAATTCCTGAGCTCTGGTGAGCCTGGGGACCAGGAGTGAAACCAATTGGTTTGTAGGTAGCTCTGTTAAATTCCTTTCCAACTCCCCAGGAAATACTCATTTCTTCAGCTTGACTGGAAACCATCAAGCTCCTTTGGGTGGCCCTGAGAGCAATCTATTTTGAACAAAGTTCCTGGAATCAAAACATGGGCACAGCCAAAGAGATGCTCATGTGCTTTTTACACTCATTCTCTTGTGGTTTTTTGTCTCACACCAGTTCAGACTGCAGCCAGTGCACGTCCCAGCCCTGCTCTGAGCACATCTTCACCAGCACAGAGAAACACAGCCCAACAGCTGCCAGGGGCTGGCTGATGGTGTTGATTGGGCAAGTTAATTAAGAGCAGAAGTTATTTTGAACTAGGATAGGTTAAAAAAAAAATACACAGAGCAAGTGTTTCATTTTGTGATTTGATAGCTTTGGTTTCTGGAGAAACATCTCGAGCCATTACTCTGAGCATCAGTGTGGCTGCAGCAGGGCACAGACATGGCACAGACACTTCCAGTTGCTTCCTGATTCCCCTGAGAAGTCCCTCAGGCCATCCCAATACCTGAAAAGAGTCACCTCCTCTGGTTCCCCACTGAGCTTTGCCCCATTTGACCAGGGATCATTCTCACCCACCAGAGAAGAGCCAGGACATGGACACGGTGATGCCACACAAGGAAAAAGCTTTTTGTGTCTTCATGAGGTCAGAGTGGGCTCTGCAGTGGGCAGGGAGAGCAGAGGGATGACCACCAGCACCTCCTGGGACACTCCTGGAGCCACAAGAGCCACCATGGCAGGTCAGTGGCCACTGCCACAACGCCAGGGCCACCCTGGCCACCAGCTTGGGCAGCCTGGGCTCTTCTCATCAAGGCCAAGTAACAAATACTTGGTTTCTCCAAACTCTACTAACTTCAACAAGCCTTGTCCTCCTAAAGACTCTCTGAGTACCATTTAGTGCTTAATAAATGCTCTGCCTCATGGAAAAGAAGGAGATAAAATCAATAAAGTGCCTACAAAGTTGCTTTGTACCGTCTCACATGCATATTTAGAAACCCTCTCTTCCCTGCCACTCACCTCATGGATCTATTCTTGGAGGATAAAAACTGGGATATACTTTGCAGCCAAAAGTAAAGTCATAAAGAAGTTTGCTCACGTTCCTCGACACATGAGATATAGAGTTAATTAAAAATTGTTCTCTGTACAACAGGTTTGTTTCACTGGAAAATGTCACTGATGTAAGGCTGTTCTACTCTTGTTGCCAACTACATTGAATTGACTCCATTATAAGCTTACTCCTCCCCCCTCCCCATTACTTTTCTTCCAATAATAAACCAGAGAGGTCGTAGAGCCCACTTTTTTATTGGAAAAAGTGCATTAGGATTAGCTGGCTTGGAGCAGTCATTTTATGCCCCTCCAGTCCCTGTTTATCTGTGGCTCTACAGAAGCAGCAAATACTTGCTCCAGTCCTGCACAGTATAAATGAGATTTTTGATCCTACAGGCATGGTGCTGTTAAAAGATTTTTAATTAGATAAATACATTTTATAAAAAGATTTTGCAGAATAGTTGCCTCTAGCAACTGTAACAATCTTGAAGCTTCATCTTCTAAAAGGAAAGAAAACTCTTGCAGGAGGCTGGTTGTGTTATATAAAAAATGAAAGATGGTATTACAGAATTAATAGGAAGGGGCCAATGGAAATGCAGTCCCACTCCTGGAAACGGGAGTTTGTTTCATTACTGACTTCAAACAGCACATGGATTTGTGCTCTGATTTTTCCAGCCAGATTGCCAAGTGAGCCTTGGGCTGGAGGAGAAGCTGGCCCAGGCTGGAGGGAGATGTTTCCACAGCTGCTGGGCTCTCCCTGTGTTGCCCTGGCTGTGCCCTGCTGCTCCCCCAGCTCCGGCCATCCTCACCCAGGGGATGCCACCATAACCCCTCTGCAGCACAGAAATTGCTTTCCTCGCCTGCCAGCCGTCCTGGAAGTGTCCATCAGCTCAGGGTGGCTCTGGTGCTGTCCCTCCCTGCCTGAGGATGGAGAACAAGGAACATCCCACAGGCATTGCATCCCCAGGGCGCCCTGCCTGCAGGCACAGAGGAGAGACCCCAGCCCTCCTGATCCCACAGCTGCCAGCCTCAGGAAGAGCAGGTGAAGGGCAGACGTGCCCAGGTCATGCCAAGGTGACAAGAACTGCTCCCATGCCCTTCTCCATCCAGCTCAGAGCTCTGAGCCCCTCTGGGATGCCACGGCCCCAGAGGCCTCATTGCTGTGGGGCAGGGGCTCCACAGGACTTTCCCTCTTCCCCTTTCACATCCCAGTGAGTGAAGCCTCACAATACGCTGTCAAGGTGGGGAGTTTTATCCCTGCAGACTCAGTGCAGGATAGCAGCTGGAATGGGAACTTTTCCATGCTCACCCCCATAGTCAGTATATTTAGCCCTGACCTAGAAAGACCATCCTTTCTAGGGCTGAGTTGTGATTCAGACAGTCTGCTTGCTGAGCAGAGACTGCCAACTGTGCCGAATCATAGCTGATTAGAGGTGGGAGAGAGCCTGAAAAACAATACACCCAGGCAAATGCAGTGGGTTAGGAGCATTTCATGGAAATTATATTTAACACCATTCTGGTGACTTAAAGAAAAGTTAAAACAAACAACCCTCGCACCTTCCAAAATAACCCTACCTGTCTCTGGTGGGAGAGGAGAGACTGGCAAAGGGTTGCTATTTTAAATCACAGTGGAACGGGGTAAAGAAAGAATATACATGGAGGTAGATCCATACATAGGTATAGATACGTGCACACACATCTCCAGATGAAGCAGGGCACTCATTGTCTGAGAAAGGAAGGGTGGACAGAGCAGCAGATACTCTTTTTTTTGCATTTTAGGGGAAATTCTACCTTGAAGCAAAACAAATTCAATTGTGTCTAAAGGGAAACCAGAACAAAAGAAAAAAAACAGCATGAGAAGATGTCTGGAGACATCGTGCTCATACAGAAACGTCTGCTGGCAGGTCAAAAAGTGTCCCACCAGCCCAGCGTGGGACTGAGCTTGTATCCCACAGGCAATTATCCCCTGCCTGCAGACACTCTCAGCCATCCCTGGGATTTGAAGGAGAAATCTTATCTACAGGCCTGTGAGAAAGCAGAGGGAGGCACACGTTGTACTTCCACACCAGTAAAACAAGCAGGGAGTTGAACTGGAAAACACTGCACAGCCCAGCCTGGAGACAGCAGAACAGGAGACTAAACACAACAGTTTAACAAATAATTACAGGTTCTTTATACGGCCTAGAATTTGTAATCCACCTTCATCCACTTCTCTTTGCACAGTTTAGAATTACAATGCCAAAGGGATCACAGGGAATCATGAAATAATGTCCTGCATTTGAGTGCAGAGCAGACAGTCTGGGATGGTTTTAGATACTCTTTTCATGAAACATTTACCATGTGGCACCCAAGTGTTCCCTCCATTGTACCTTGGCAAACACAGGGACGCGCTGCTACAGGCACTCACACACACAGGATGTTTGCAGACATTAAAAGTGATGAGGGAAAAAAAAACCCAAAACCCTGACCTGGATAAGTTCTCCTCGATTTAAATTCAGGAAAGTGTGGGCATTGAATATTATCTCCATAATAAATTTGCCACACCATAAAACAGAGTGGGGAATCAAGAAGGAATATCTTGCATTTCAACAAACGCTCGGTCTCTGAGGACCCCCACCATCCCTTGGTATGTAGGAGTACAATTTATCATCTGTATTTTTCATCTGAACTGCATGAAGAAGAGGGTATTACGGCAGTGGTGCTGGACTGGTGTTTGGGGAACTGTGAATCCATTACCTGCAACAGACTCCCTGACTCCTCAGTAAGCCCCAGCTGCTTGGTTTCCCATCAGCATTTCCATTTCAGAGAAACTTTAAATGACTGTCAAAAAGGAAACAGAAAATATGTTAGGTAAAATAAAAGATACTGTTTGACTATAAATAAAAAGGGGATTTTATATTTTGAGTGGGTTTTAAACACTTATAAATAATTCTGGGAGACACTGCAAACTGGCAGCTTACTTAAAAACACCTTCAAAACCACTTCACCTTTTTAATACTTTTTTTTCCGTACACAACTATTTTGTTAAATTGACATCTGGTTTGGGAAATACTGCAGGATTTCCTAGTCTGCATTTTTTGCCCCCATAAATGACCAACAGCATAGACTCATATCTAATCATGAAGATTCTTTTAACAAAGTATGTAACAAAGGCTTTACTTTAGGCACAAGCTTAAATCGTTTGGTTTTAGCGAGTTAAGCACAATTAAAAAGTGCCAAGTGCTTTGCTGGGGGAGTCTGGAGTCAAGCACCGAGGGAGCACTGGGGCTGAGTGGGGTGAACATGGTGAAAAGTGAAAATAAAGCATGAATAAACAGAAAATAAGCATGGCACTTGGAGACTGTGCGCTTTGCTGGTAGAGTATTTCTAAGGTGTGTTTTGTATGTTTGAAAAAATCCTGTTATTCAGGAGCCTGGAATTGCTCTTCCATCCCCATTGCTGATGAATAGCAGAGGCACAGCATGCAGCCCTTTATTCCGAGGGAACCTTAATCACTCCCCTCCCGAAACTGCTGCTCCATTTGACTGACAGAATTAGAAGCAATCCACATATTGGAGGGGGAAAAAAAAGAAAGGCAGACCCATTTGGTTGTCAGACTGTGGGTACATACACAAAGCTTTTAGCAAAAAAAAAAAAAAAAAAAAAGAAAGAAGAAAAAAGAAAAAAGAAAAAAGAAAAAAGAAAAAAGAAAAAAGAAAAAAGAAAAGTTGTTGCCCTCCTAAATGACATCTATATTAATGACATGAATGACAGGCTTAAGGGGAAAATTATAAATCTTTCTTTCCAGCTTTTCTTTTATTGCCCAACCATATATTTCATCTTTCCAGGGAGCAGGGCCATCAAGGCCAGAGCTGACAGACCTGAGAGCTGTTGGGGAGCTGCAGCCAGGCCCCTCTGGAGCAGGGAGCAGCTCTGGGGCTCTGTGCCCCAGCTGGGACCATGGAGCACCAACAGCACCAGCCCAAGCCAGGCCAGCGTCCCTGCATGGCAAAGGAGAGCAGCAGGGCTGGGCTGTGCATGCCTGGAGCTCCATGGCTTGGGACTCCCCACGCCTCCATACCCGGTTCCACAGGGATGTTCTGCCCCTGTTTTTATGGCAGAACAACTCTCTCTGGTGACCCCAGAGCCCCCCAAGAATATTCTCTCTCTTGGCAGCAGTGGCTTTTCTGTGTCTGTGAAGGAGCTTTGGGCTCCTGATGGAAAGAAGAATGTTGGCTCTCCTTTCCCATGCCATACACGAGGCTGCCTCTGTCTCCAGAGTAGCCACAGATTTCTGCATTTCTGCTTTGTTCATTTTCCTATGCAGTCTCCAGGGAAAACAAGAGGAAGACAAAGAAACCCCAGTGTTTTGCTGGATCACAGACACAGATGTAATCATCTTCAGTTAAAAATAATTCCTTTAAATGTCCCTAGAGCAAGTTCCATTTTCCCTGGAGGTGATACATAACTAATAAAAGTGATAGACCCCCTCTGCAGTTGGATGTTTGTGTGTATATTCATTTACACATACACATATTAATTTTTCTTTTTCCATAGGAGCCTCCTGTGAAAGATCATTATGACCATGTGGAACTGCCTGTGCTCAGACACTCTGCAAAGATACTTCCTTGGGTTTTATTGTCTGTGACCACTGTACTTATATTTTATAGCAGCCTAATTACTGACAATCCCCTTTAAATGCTGACATGCAATGCTAAGTTATTCTGCAGGTGAATGAGTAGATGTAACATTTCTCTGTGTTCTCTAAAATTGTGTAGTAGCATTAACTGGATTTGTCAACAGCAGGACTGTCTGGAGAAATTATCCCATTTAAACAAGGTCCTTGATTTCCCATCACCAGTAGCACCGAATCCACAGTGTCTGGGGAATGGTTATGTCATGGAGGAAGTGGAGGATTAAAAAATTAAATGGGCTTGTTTGAAACCTCTCACACTGCTTAGTTTATAACAATAAAAGGCAATGATGGTTCCTTAAAAACCAATTGAGGGGATAGAATTAAAAAAAATTAAATTAATAATCCAAGTGAGGCTATGTCTGGCTCTCTGGCTCTACCTGTGCTACACAGCCCTAACAGATACAGTCCCACTCTTTTTCCAAGCACTGCTACCATAGATAATAAAACTAATTTAATTTTCTGTCACTCTTTTCATTTTAATGGACACCCAGAGATTTCACAGCCGTAGGAGAGCAGTGCACAAAGCCACATCTTTTCTGGAACGAAGAGACACAGAAAAAGAAAAATCTTGTGTGGAAATGCCAGAAGAAACATTGTCATGAAAAACAGGCTTTAAATATTGAAAACATATAAAGGACAACATAGAGCACAGGAGAAACAGGCTGAATAAAACATGCTGCTATTAAAGCCCTGGAGCTCAGTCCTGGAGGGATTTGCAATTTCCCGGCGCAGGCTGTGATTTTTCAGGGACGCTGAGTGGCACTGGAAGGGCTGCAGAGCAGTCCCCGTGCTGTGACAGGTAGCAGCTCCCTCCCAGGCTCAGTCTGGCACATTAAAACCCAACAGGATCTTTCTTTTTTCAGCTCAGTGCCTCGGAGGCTCTCACACGTTCCGTTACCCCCTGCTCATCCCACCCCGGCGATAAGCGCAGTATAAATAGCTACCAGTAGATGACAGATAGAACATGGACATGACAACAGTGTCCTCCCCCTGCTCCCACAGTCGGCACAGCAATTTCTGTCGTGATCCACTCCTTGCTGGGACTGTGGGAGCACACTGGTGCTGGCAGGAGTCGAGCTGACTCCAGGCAAACTCCTCAGGCTGGCCCCGAAACCCCATCCGAGGTGAACGTGCAGGTGAATATTTAGCTGACCAAAGTAATAACCTCAGGGTTAATGAGGACTTGGCATAATTTAAGAGATGGTCATAACTGGGAATCTATGTCATTTGTTCAGTGCTTCAGCGAGCTCCCACTTTGGCTCTTTTTTTCCCTAAACCCCTGCAGCACTGTTATCCAGCTCAGGGATAATGGAAGGGATTAAAAATCAGCTCCTCATCTCTTGCTAATTCTGCTTGCTTCACTGTCCTATATCCAAAGCAATAGAATAGGGGCAGGATGTCCAGCTTTGGGAGCCATCACTTGGTTTGACTGGCAAGAGGCCAGGGAAGAGCAGAAATGAGCGATAAGAGATGTGGAAAATATGACCTGTAAGGAAAGGTTGTAGGAATTGGGTTTGTTTAGTCTAAAGAAGAAAAGAGCGAGGAAAGATTTGATAAGAGGAAAGATATGACCAAAGTCTTCCAACATGCAGAAGTTTGTTATAAAGAGAACAATACTCTTCTTGTTCCCTCAGAAATCACCTTATTTCAGGAAAGACTGGGGCTGAGGCATTAGGAAAACAGCATTTACATGCAGGAGCAGGGAAATCCTGGACAGGCAGTTCTGCCCTGGGGGATTTCAGAGCAGGTTATTGAGGCACATTCCTCTGACAGGCTCCTCCTGGACACTCAGGCCAGGCTGTGCTTTGGGGATGTCACCGTGTGCAGGTGCCACATTTTGGCCACTGCCTTCACGTGCACATGGACATCCAGAGCAAGGGCAGTGTCCTGGTAAGGAGTGAGCCCTGGCCCAAAGTCAGAAGAGCGCTGGCTTGCAGAAGTCAATCCCCAGCCCTGCAAAGCTGCAAATATTTCACAAGGCTCACACAGCCTCAGACTCCACAGGCTTGGCAAAGCCTGCCCGGCCACTCTCCTCACGAGCTGTAAAGAGTCTGCACGCAGCCCTGGGCTGGCAATGTGCTGAGGACACATGGGGCAGAAAAGAAACCAAACTTGCTCTGTTTAGACTGACATTGGCTCCCCACTGTTGACAGCAGTCCAGATTTGGGGTCTGGTCTTTCTTGCATTGAATTCCACAGGGAATTTTTCTGTTGGCATCAGTGGGGGCAGTAATAAGCCATTGTATCTGTCAGTGCAGATTGCCAGTGGAAGACAAACTGGAACTGCTAAGTGCTGTCTGTAATGAGAGATCATTTTTCCCTTCCCTCCTCCTCTCTCTCAAGTCCATTTTCAGACCATAACCACATTTTAATGAATAAAAAGTTGTTGTTTCAAATCCTTGCAGAACTGCAGTCTCTGCCAAGCCTGTTTTTCTTCTGGAAAGACAGATGCATGTGCTCACATTATGGTAGTAGTTTTTTGCATGCCATATATTTTCAATGATGTTCATGAAACTAGAATTAGTGACATTAATAATGACAAATCAGAGGGCTAATATTGTTTAACCCTGTTAAAGAGTGTTATTACATTTACATGTTCCCACAGAGTAAATGCTGTTCAACTCAGACATATGTCTTGCTATCTGTTTATTTTTATGAATCAGAAATGAATCAGCAGTCAAAGAGTGTCCTGTAGATTTACTTGTCTCATATAACATTTTAGAAGGGGAAAAAACCCCTCTACTATGGCTCACAGAATAATTTTCTATTCAATAGGGGCATAATAGTACTATCAAAGTACTATCAAATTAATTCTAATCAATAAGAGAGACTATTGCAGGTCTGCACAGATTAACCCCAAAATGCTGGGCCATTGAGGAGCCAGCCTGTGCTCCTGCTGGTGTAACACTCATTCCTATTCTGAGAGTGAAGGCAAAACTGCACCTTCAGATCTGATCTCCTGTGTGCAGCTGTCTGGTTTCCACTGCTTGTGAGCAGATGCAGAACTGCCTTTCCCTCAAGCCAAAGAGTCTTTCAGGATGCAAAATGCAAAGGCACAGTGTAGTCTGCAGCACTCAGGTTCTATCTGTGGACAAGACCTACAGTAATTTCAGAGCTGAAAAGTGATTCTCTGTCTGCACTGCACT